AGACTGAATACTGTGTACTTTGTTCCTTAGTCTTTTCCTGCACATTTTCTTCCAGTGGTCTTGTCCTTTACAATAGTTACAGGTACTTCCCTTTGCTGGACACTTTCCACTGTCATGAGTAAAACCACAGCTCCCACAAATGTTACCGGAGTTTGACTTATTCCTGTAGTTGTTTGACTGATATGTTTTCGGTGTTTGTGATGGCTTTAAATTTGGGCTTACTGGTTTCTTGATTTTGCTGGCTGGTTTTTTGTGTTGTTTTGTACAGTTAAGTTTCAATATTTCCTCACCTCGCATCATTTTAACCTGAGCTTGAGAAAGTTCGTATTGTTGACCTATCTGTATAGCTTTGGTAAGGGTAATGTCTTGACCTTGATCAAGTAAACGTTCTTGTACCTTTTTGTGTTTAACACCAGCGATGATCAGGTCTATCAACACATCATTACTGTCTGTGTATTCGCAATCCATTGCCAATAACTTCAGGTCTTTGACAAAATTATCAAATGTCTCAGATTCAGTTTGTTTTCTTTGATGGAGTTTGTAACGAGCAATTCGTTTGTTTTTCTTGGGTCTGATGTAAACATCTAGTTTGTCCAATATTTTAACAGGATCATCTGTATCATGATCATTTTCCCATGTGAAGGTCTTATATATCTCCCTACCTTCTTGTCCTATCCACATTCCGATCCATCCTGCCTTGTCAGCATTTTCGGCCTTGGCGAGCGGGCCTTTGAAACAGAACGCCACGTGCTGTCGGAATCGGAGAAATTCCTGGTACTGATCGCCGGCTCCCCAATCCAGACGTGGTTGGTCAAATGGCGTAGCAGACATGGTTGGTTCAGATCAACGTTTCTGACACCATGTAACGTTTACAGACTGCGTTTAGCAGTAATAATTGAAGAGAATCCAGAGACACTGGAAACGTGTTTCAAGCCGCCATGTTTATTCAAGAACCTTCTAAGTTACAGAGACGCTTGAAGCGTAACATTATCAAGGGGAACAACTCTTGATACCTTGGAGGCTTATGCATACATTACAATAAAGGTGAATTATATTCATATTGACAACACATCTTCTGATGTCGCTTTCTTTATTCGGTATTTTTATAGATTTTGTCTGGCGACGCTTGTTGTCACTTGAAGACGCTTTCTATTCATTTAAAGCATTTGGTCATTAATCTCATTATACAATAAAAAAATAAACATATTTTTCTTAATGTTTACATACCTTGAAATCTTTGCTGTACATGCTCATATTTTACAGCATGTTTTTCTTTCTTCTGAGTGTTCCCTAGCTGCGATAACGTAGCTTTCTGACGACGATATTTTTGTAATCGGGGCAGAGGAGGCCGGTTATTAATATTAGTACTTAGTGTTCCCATGCATCCGAAGAACTGCCTCAAAAAAGCGTCCTTACATTCTCGAGATAATGCAGTTTGATATTATTAAAGTACAGAAAACATCGATTGACTTATTTGTGTTTTGAAACTGCAAGTCACATTGAATAAATGTAGACGTGCAAGTTAGCCTGCACCCCCTTGTCCCACACGCCTGAACCCGGCCAACATTTAGCACGATTACTAGCCGAAGAACCGGAAAGAAGTGACTGAACTGATCGTCTAGCTCTGCAGCTATCACATCAATTCATATACTTTAAATTGGGTGTAAGATAGGCTGCTACATGTCACAAGTTTAAATGCAGCCACCGTGTCTATCATCTTCCGTAGCGAATGTAAACAATCTACCGGAAGTGTGCGCAACAGAAAACGGGAAATCCCTGTCGCTTCGATATTTAAGTCAATTTGATTGATTATTGATATCTAAAGTGTATGATATTGTTTGAATAATTAAGAGATAGCCTTCTAGTTTCAGTAGTTACATTATGTGTATATGTTTTGGGAATAATAAAAGTTATATTGTACATTCTTGTAAAGCAAGTGAGATTTCCGTTTTCGCGCGAAACAGAAATAGAATAGAAATATGACGTCTGTCGGAATTCCCGTTTTTCTCCCTTTTCATTGGCTAGAAGTTAAGGACCCAAATCCCAGCCGGCGGCTCAATTATGTATTTTGTATGTATCGCGTATATTTCTGCAATATTAAAAGCCGACTGCTCGCTGTGCCTAGGGCTAGTCGGCAAATGGGTATTTGTTGTTTGTGCAGTGTTTTTACATGAATTGAGAGAAGACATTTGATCGTACACAGGCATATGAAACCATCTGTGACGAACAACAACGCTGTGACACCACAGGTAAGTATTCTAAAAAAATCGCTGATCGCGACAAGGTAAATACGTGCTATACAAAAATCGTACATGTTTAGTAGAAATGTTCTCAGACAGCGGGTAGATGCAAAAGGCACTTATGTTTCAAATTGTAAACCCATGAACATATTAATGAAAATCAAGTTGCACTAGAGAGTTAAGATAAAACCTTTGAGAACGGTATAGTATTTTTACATTACAAAATGTGTGTACAGTATATTGTATAACGATACAGTAGGGCACTCTTGTGAAATTGAGGTATCATCAGTGCACAGGACATGTTCAAATTCTTCTTCTTTTCGTCATAAATATTAATACAAAATAGCAAATGTATTACTTAATAAATAGAAGGAGAGCATAATCGTGGCCTAGCTAGTTAACCTGGTACATGTTTGAACATTGGTTTGGTTTGTTTTAGTATTGTGTAACGTCCTATCAACAGCTATGGTCATTTTAGGATGGCCTTCCATGTGTCTAAGATGAATGCGTGTAGTATATGCGTGTGTTTCGGAAGGCTGCGATATGTTTGTGTTTGTTTCATTGTGAAAGTGCGGAACTTCTGCCGACTTTAAAGTGCTACCTCACTGAAACATACTGCCGGAGACACCCAGCAGGACACCCCACCCGGTCACATTTTACTGATAACGGGCGAACCAGTCGTCCCATTCCTAAATTGCTGAGCGTTAAGCAGGAGTAGCAGTATTCCGTCTTTGCGTATTGCAGAGGTATCTTCTCTTGTTAGCAGGGATTGATTGTTACGTGATTGGGTTGTGAGAGTAACGTCATCAATTTTTGAGAAATCGACGTAATTTTCTCACACAAACCAATGACGTAACAATCAATACCTGCACACAAGAGAAGATAACTCTGCAATACGCAAAGACGGAATATGTAAATTCAATATTAGTATATTTGTTTAGTAATCCAAGACTCGTAAACTAGATTAGAGACTCATATTGCATTGAAATATATTTAGGGAAATAACTGTTCTCTGAGATATATTTACATGATATTATTTTCTACATGCATGTACATTTATGAAATATGTAATATAAAATCTGTATTTGAGACCCTATAAGGCTTCACAGGATAAAAATAAATCTGCTCCCATGACTTAGCTAATAATCACGATATAAGAAAGTTGATGCTAATAAATGTATTTCAATCACGGTAATTTAATGGCAGTAAAAATACGGATTATTATTGGCTGTTTTGAGTTTGAAGATTTACAATCTTGTAATGTACTAATGCTACGATTTTTTTACTAATAACACTATGAAATTAAATAGTATTATTTCCAAACATTAGGAAACATATGATATTGGCAATATATCAGACTAAAACTTCTTTCAAAGTTGTATTCATTTGTCAAATACATGTAGTCTATTTGGAAGGTGCCGACATGGAGACGCGTTGAGCAAGAGGCATGGGCCCGATCCGACGGGGAGGGAGGTCGGGATAGCTGTAAAGGTCACGCAGAGAGGTGACATGCGCCTTTCAATGGCGGTTATCGCGAATAACAACGCGATCGTCAATGGTCCACACACCAGATATGTTTTTTGTTCTTTTTTAACCATAGGGCCTAACTCTACACTTCAACCCGCGGTTTCGTCAGTGCTTCGTTTATATGGAGTGCCGATGGTCTGGTAAAGTTGGGTGGTTGTTGATCAGACTGTTCACCTTATTCGACTTGATGAGGTCGAATCTTGCCTCGTAGACTGAAGCTCGGGTGCGATAAGATACAAATCGGACAATATTGTCCCTAGGTCGATCAGCACTTTATGGAACTCTTAAACTCTTCGCACATGCACTTTAATATACAAAAAAACAAAAACAGAGAAGATACAATTAACAGGACATAGACTCAGCAGGAGAATGGGAGCAAAACTGGCTCGGGCAATTTCATCCAGACAAGTGCATTTTTATCTCAACATAAAACAAACGCACCAAATCAAAACTATAAATACAAACTCCATAACCACACATTACAACAAGTAGACTCCAGTAAATACCTAGGGTTAACACTACACAGCAATCTTATATCGGACACTTACATCAACAACATCACTGACAATGCAAACAAATCACTCCGATTCCTAAAACGCCACCTAAAAACACTCACATCATATAAAAGAACATACATACAAAGCCATGATTAGATCCTAACACTTTCACACATTGGAACCTCCTACTGGAAGCAGCAGTACAATACACAACACTAAAGGTCGACCATTATTATTAATGTAACTTTGAGATCGTCTAGAGTAATTAGTTGTAGTATGGGCCTGCTGCAATATGTATCCACTTGAGGTTGGCAAAGAGGTTCTTATCTGAAATGATGAAATCGACATCGACATCCCGAAGTAATGACATCTTCTCATCTTTTAGTTATGAGATAGAAATTGCCCCAATACGCTTCCGTACGATGCAGATCACACGCTTTAGCTAGGGCCTCTTCGTTTATGCGGAACAAATGGTTCGCTGATTTATGTATGTAACATTTGTTTGTATGTATGCAGGTCTTGCAAGGCTTTGCCAAGGCTCGTCTGGAAACAGCACCTGATTACTTGGTCCGACCTTATTACATAAACGAACAATTCTTGTCCAACCGGTTCAACCGTTTGAATCGCGATAAACGAAAGCGGCCTAGGGTATCTATAAAGGCGAAACTTAAAACTGCTTGTAAAGCTCCGACGGAGTAATGCTTCAAAAAGTTCCGAATAATAATGGATTAATTACCTTCTAGATATCACATTCTTCCTGCGTACTTCCAATTCTATCACGGAATAAGTGAGTGCAATATACTTACCTTGAAAGCATACACCCGTATCTCTTGTGGTCAGATGGCCTGTTCGTTTATGCGGAACAACCGGTTTGTCCTTTAATAAGTGTAACAATTTCGGGTACAAATCCTGGCGGACTTGCAAATGTGTATGCAGTCCTTGCAAGGCTCGCCTGAAATCAGTACCAGATTACTAGGTCCGGCCTTATTTAATTAACGAACAAATGTTAGTTCGTATGCATCACAACGTAATGAGTAGAAAACGAACGAGCACTCGTGACTTGGAATGTGTGTCATTCCGTTTCACTGCACACCACTACAACACCTTGTCTACCACCTGTTACTAAAGCATAGAAGTGCACAATAATCTAGGGCTTGTTTGATTTTAAAATGTAACGTGTAAAGATTATGTTATAAGTAGCAGTGACAAGAATTATTAATATTTACATTTGCATGGCATTGTCACTATATAGGCTATTTGAAAGCTGTGTCGTTGATGGGACTTTAAATTACCATGCACCACGAGACATCAATCTTAGCGTATTAATACAACACCGACCGGAACTACAATATCCAATGTAAATAAACATGACGGCTGCTGAAATATCGCTGGGCATTGTGAGACTTGACAATGTAATTGTAAATGTGCAAAAGAAAAAAATAAATATAAAAAATATTTTTATTACAAAAAAAACAAGACCAACGTCTGCAATATCGTACAAAATGCACACCGGTTTAAATAACCAATGCCGGCAATGGAAACAACTTTAACACCAATGCAATTTATCAGAAATATCGTCTGTTACACTGCACTGGTCAACAGGGATTCGTTACAAATGTCTGAAATACATATATGCTATAGACCTACTGATATGAGTCATAGCACAAATAAACATACATGTGTATTTCAGACATTTGTAACGAACTCCTGTGCTCCGTCGCAAGATCACTCACTTCAAACGCTATCAGTATCACGTGTCGCTCAGCCACGGTTTCTTCAGTTTCTGACGACATGTCAAATAACGAGGCTGTAGAATCTACCGACTGTAGTCAGATTCCCACACTTTTAACAAATAAATTCACGCCTTGATTCTTCACAAGTTCGAACTTTTCTCTCTGCTCATTTAACTTCCAAAAAATTCTCCCTCGTGAGGGACAGGGTCGGATTCATGGTGTTCAATGTATTTATCCATGCGCGAAATTTGTTCCGGGGAAAAATCAAAACAATTTCAAATCTAACTTTCAGCTCAGATTTCTATTGACAAACTTAAATCACCCTACAGATATATCATCGCCAATTGTATTGATACTGAATTGTGGAATATCATTGAAGTGTTTGTACTTAGTTTGCCAATCAGCACGCGACAACACGCTGTTCCAACTATTGAACGAATTTGTGTGGACTGTCGATAAGGCGGGAATTTTAAATTTTAAATATAAATTGTAAGTTAAAAAAAAACCCATAAGAGGCAAGGAAAAGGTAAGTATAAGTATTGAACTGTTTTTGTATGGTATTTATGGTCTATTTGAATGACATAGCTTTGCCTAGCGCATTATGATTTGTTTGCTTGCAAAGCTGTGTCATTCAAATAGATCATAAATACAATACATGATAGGTCATTATGGCCAACCAACGGTCGAAAACAACACCAATGCAAAATATAAACATGCAATAACTATCTTACTGCATACTTCCCCACTCGATTCACCTAAACAGCCTACACTATATGCTCTATACATTCATATCTACAGCAAACATACACGCATGCACGCTTAGAAAACACACATTGAGACACGTCCTTAAATGGCCGTAGCTGCTAACAGGATGTCATTCATATCTGCATTATTTATTTGCACCATCATGAGTGATTTGGTTTGGTTTTATTAAGCCTAACGTCCTATTAACACGTAAGGTAATTCAAAGACGTGCCTCCACGTGTGTTGTGTATGCGTGCATGTGTGTATGTGTGCAGAAGACAGGGTATATTGGTGTACTTGCCTCCTTGTGATAGTGTGTAAATGATGCCGACTTTATAATGCTATCTCACTGAAATGCCATGCCGAAGGCACCCAGCACAGCATTCCGCCCGGTCACAGTGTGAGCTAGTACTTATCAGTACCAAGTAAGTTTGTGTCACTCTTTTAATAATATATAAATTACGTTATACAAAGTGTTTTATATGACAGGATCGGTGCTAACATGTATATTCGGCCATTTTATGGCCCTTGACTGACAAGCATTTATTTTTGCATGATGCCTTTGGGTCGGACCTACATAAACCGCTGCATTTGTAAAGAAAAAAGTTTGACCCTTTGGAGATGTTGGGGGTCACAGTGGGAGGCGGCAATAGCATGTTTCCGATTTAAGGCATACATCTTTTTTGTGTGTGTGTGTGTGTGTGAAGAAATACAGTTTAATGAATAGTTATTAGGTTAAAGGGACATCACGTGAAGAGCCATACTTTTTTAATGAATGTATGTATTGTATGCACTTACTCTTATATTACCTCGTTATCCCAATATTCATAGTCCGTTCCAAATGTCAAGTTTGACCACTTGAATTGTTCGGGAAAGGCCTGCTACAAATAGCACCAATTTGAGGTTTCTCTTGTGAACCAATTTCTATTATAAATACTTACCACAGTCATTATAATGCATATTCCAACCTTACTTGGCTCTTTACATACGTAAATAAAGAATTTTCCCCCCATGGGGAACCCCTGGAAAAACCCACCAATCAGACGGCAGTATTCACGCACGTGATAAGACACGAAGCCATGCTTCCCACTCCATAATTCCAAAGCCCAAAAAAGTGAGAGCCAAGGAGACAAGGGGAGGCTGGGAGGGAACTCACCTAATGACTGTGGTAAGTATTTATAATAGAAATTGGTTTCACAAGAGAAACCTCAATTCTATTTCAAAATACGTTACCACAGTCATTATAATGCGAATTCGACTTACCGCAGTGGTGTCTCCGTGGAGCGATGAAGGGTTCCAACAATAGGACCCATACCCCCGGAGGAAAAATTCAAAATACCCTTTCCTTTTGTGACACAAAGCCTGATTACGACCAGCGTTCCGGATCACGCGGAGAAGACATAATGAGGCTTATGCAAAAGAAGAGGGAGGACAGACAACGGACTGGGCAGCCACAAGAGGGCCCAAAGAATACAATCCGTCAGACTGTCCCGACAAAGATCGGAGATAGAACTCCGTAAACGTAGAATGACCCCTCCAAACAGCAGCTGTCATGACCTCAGCGTAAGAAGAACCATTAAATAAGGCCCACGAAGTAGCTAAAGCGCGAACCTCATGAGCCCTAACCCCTGACACCCGCAAGGACTGATCCCCTGCCGACTCATACGCAGCTCGAACAGTCTGAACAATCCAGCGTGAGATGGTCGCTGCAGAGATATCAGNGCGCAAGGCACGAACTGGGCAGAGCAGGCGATCAGGACGATCCCCATCCAGAGTTGAAGCCAAAGAAGAAATAACCACAAGCCCTGGGGTGAAACCAGGGACCTGGTTCTTAGCTAAAAGGGAGGGATCAGTGGTTACTGAGACCGAAGAATGGCCAGCCGAAATACGAAGGCAAGAAGGAGATCTGCTGAAAGCATGAATCTCGCTTCTGCGGCGACCGGAACCAAAGGCTATCAAGAACACAGTCTTGAAAGTAAGAAACTTCCGATCCGTCGACTGGAGGGGCTCGAATGGCGCCCTCAACAAGGAATCTAGCACAAGTGTAGAAGCCCCTAATGAGAGCAGACAATGAAGCGTCCGAGCCCACAGACTTGCTACCATAGAAAGCCAGCACACTAGCAATGGCTGAACGATAGCCTGCAATAGTTCCCGGAGACAAACCTTTGTCCTGAAACAGAGACAAAAGAAAGTCGGCTACAACGGGAACAGAGGCAGAGACTGGATCAATCGCCCGTCCGACACACCAATCACCGAAGGCGGACCATCGAGATAGGTAGACGGCGGAAGACGAAGGTATAAGTGATCCTGCGATGCGAGCTGCAACTTCTCGAGAAAAGCCCGTCTGAGTGAGCCTTCCCGAGATAGCATCCAACCGTGAAGGTGGAGCCGTTCTGGTCCCGAGTAGAACTGCCGGGACCTCGGTTGAGACAGCAGATCCCACAGGGGTGGGATGCTGCGCGGGAAGTCCACCGAAAGCCGAAGCACCAGAGGAAACCAAGGTTGTCGAGGCCAGAGCGGTGCAACCAGCAACACAGTACAAGGGTGTAGAAGAATATTATCCAACACCCTGCCCACCAGATTGAAGGGAGGAAACACATACGCGTACATTCCCGACCAGTCCTGGGATAGAGCATCCAACGCCATGGCCATAGGATCTGGAACCGGAGACACAAACGTAGGGAGTCGAAAGTTCAGGGCCGTGGCGAACAGTACCACATGGGGTCTGTCCTAAACCAGGCAAAGAGACCGGAACACCGAACGCTTGAGGGTCCATTCGGTGAGAACCGGGCTCCGAGACCGAGACAGAGTGTCGGCCAGAACATTTAGACGACCTGGAAGGTGCCTCACCGTGAGATCAAGACTGATCTCCTGACACAGCAACAGGACCTGGGTGGATAAAGCACACAGAGGCGGGGAACGGGTGCCCCCCTGGCGCCGCAGATAAGCCACCACAGTGGAGTTGTCTGTCGCCAGACAAATGGCCTTGCTCTGCAGGGAGGGTCGAAGACCCCGAAGGGCCAACAGAACAGCACGCATTTCCAGAACATTGATGTGTTCTGAAAGCTGTTCCCCCGACCACACCCCGAACGACGTCTGACCGGAAAGGTATGCACCCCAACCGGTCATGGATGCGTCGGTGTAAAGGGTCAAGACATTGCTTTCGAGAGTCCACCAACGACCCGATTCCTTCACCGACTCCGGCAGAGGAATGTACACATCCCACTGTCGAGACACCGGAGACCAAACTGACAGAAGGAACAGCTGGAGCGGACGGATGTGAAGCCGACCCAAGGGAACCACATCCGCCAGTGAATTCAGGTAACCGAGGAACCGAAGGAACCATCGAACCTGAATTCGCTCCACACCGACCAGAACGGAAACCAACAGAGAGGCCTTCTCGAACTTGGACGCTGGTGGAAGGACAAACCCCAGATCGGTTCTGAACCGATAACCGAGGAAAACAAAATCTTGGGAGGGGAGAACCTCCGACTTCTCCCTGGAAGGGATGAACCCTAGGCGGCACAGAACGCCCAGCACCGACCTCGTGCTCCGGGACAGGATAACTGGTTCCACTTGGAGCAACAGGGAGTCGTCGAAGTAGATGTGTGCATCTACCCCGAGACTGTGGAGGTGCCCCACTACTCCCTGCAACAACTTGGTGAAAACCAAGGGGGCCGTAGTGAGGTCGAAGGGCATAGCGTGAAACTGGTAAACCTTCTGCTCGAAAGTGAACCTGAGGAACTTCCTGGCCGACCTCTGACCGGGATGTGAAAGTAAGCATCCTTCAGATCGATGGACGTAGCCCACATCCCTGGACGCACTGACGCAATGATGCGTCGTGGCGTTTCCATCTGAAAGTGCGGGGAATCGACGTACGTGTTGAACGTACTGAGGTCGATAATATGCCTCCAGGCACCGGACTTCTTCTTCATGAGGAAGACCCGGGAGTAAAACCCTGGAGACCACCGGTCCGGTGAAAGTTCCTCGATCGCGCCCTTCGCGATCATGGCCTGAACCTCCGACCTGAGAGCCTCCACATTTCCCGGATCGGAAGGAGACGGGAAAAAGATAGGCTCTCGCGCCAGAGGTGGATCCCGAAGAAGCGGGATGCAGAGACCCTTGGACACAACCCCTAGGGCCCAACTGTCTGGTGTGATTTCTTTCCACTGAGGAACGAAATGGGACAGCCGACCGCCTACTGGCAAGTCCGGAAGGGGCCAATTTAGCCCTTCCCAAACCACATCGGCGGAGCCTCCCGCGCCCAAGGGCGTGGGAGCGGCTACAGACAGTGGACAAGGAGTTAGCAAGGGCAAGGAAGATTCAGGAACCCTTCCTACCTCTGGAAAATTTGGCTTTGCCTCCACCCCTATGGGAACCCCTACCGCGGAAGGAAGATTTCCGACGTTCTGCCGGAGCGGAAGTCGGAGGGACAGGCTGCTGCTGAAAAGCAGTCATCTTTGCCCTCTTCCTCCTACGCCTGGAGGAGCCAGAAGCCTGCCTCTTCCTGCTAGCGCCTTTGCCTGCCGAGTTGTGGCGTGCATCCTTAGATGCAAACGGGTCCAACCTCATCTCAGATTGCACTGAGGGAAGGACCCCGCCAAACAAATCCGCGCCGGTCAAGGGAGCCTCCAAAAGGGTGGCCCGATAGGAATCGCCGACTGGCAGTCCAGAAAGGACCGACAACCGGCGGGCAACAACAAGGAGTGACATGGCAGCCGACAGTAAGGCCAGCGCATCAAGATGTGCCTTGCAAATTGCCTGGCTGAGGCGCTCCATCAGTCCAACCTTGCTGGGGAGCTGCTCCACCGACACGCAGCCACCAACGCAGAAGTAAACCAGTCTGCGTAGGACAGAACATGGAGAGCCAGGCTAAGGAGACGCTCCAACTTAGAGTGCTCCCTAGGCCCCATCACAACCTGGTCAACAAAGCGTCCCGGCCACTTATCCAGATCCCTCTCAAGGGAAACGGAATTAGGGGCCAAGACTGGTTTCCAGGATGCGGTACGTATCTGCAGCTAAATCTGCGATGTCAGCAACCACGACCTGTAAAGCCGAGAGGGGGAAAGGCTTGCGAGCCTTGTTCACCTATTGCTTTAATAAAGCGTTGACCTGAGCGAGGGACGAAGCCACGCATCGTCCCTCCGCAAGAGACCTAGCAGAGGCCGAGGAGGCAGACGCTAGGGGAGGCAACGTGCTCTGAAGGAGCGAAGTGCGCTCCGGGACGGCCGAATCCGAGGAAGGGCGTGGGCGTGAACAAGGGATGGGGCACAAGTTTTTACAATTTATCACAGCCTTCTCCCGTCATACATTTACAATTCAATGTCAACAATGATAATAGGCATAAACATAAAGGCACAAATATCTATAAATATATATTGAATTTATTACCGGAATGTGACCGGTACAGATGGTACGGGGCTAAACACCTTCCCTCAACCATGGGACAAACCTTTCTGTAAAAAGGATTATTCACGAGACGAATATCCCTTTTCAAATGTTTTCATAAAGGGAAACGTTTGTGATTTTTTTTTATTACATTGTACAACTCAATGTCTTTGACAAATCTTTTTTTTCTAGACCATGCATATAAATGTATCTATACTCTCTTTCCCACCTTCACTGTCTCCATACGCTAACACTTAGTAAGTCATATTAGCCATCACACACAATAAACTGTATGGCAATACCACTACGTGTACATGTAGAATATGTCTCCGATATGGAACGTGTTGAGATACTTGATAATTATATTTTTTCAATACTTAACATAGATTAAAGCATTCTTGTAAATGGACCCTTTTTATGTTGAGACAACTTTTCTGTCATCATTTCTTTTTTGTACGAAACAGAAGCCGTAATTATCGGCAGCAGGAGTCATTTTGACAACGTAAACAAATGTTTTCCCCCTGTTTTCAATACGTATTCCGATTCAATCTGAAGTCGAAAATTAATTCTTTATATAGAAAGGTTGTTACATGATCATTCATTCTAAGTCAACATCATATGAAAACATGAACTGTTGAAAAATTACGATTTAAAAACAAAAGTTATGTTATAAATTGCAGGCTGTTCTATAAGCTTAGTTTTTACAGGTATGTCGCCTATACCATCGAGTTAACTAGGAACAAAAGACAAGCACAAAAATTGAGAGTAATTGTCAATTTATTAAATGACTAGATTGATAACCAGTACAACACTGGATATATGTAGTATAACACATTAAATGTGTTCAATACTATTACATAATCATTAAAACATCTCAATTTTAAAAGATGCAACGACATCTGGAAAAACGTGCCATACCAAAAAGGCTTTCTTTGGAAAGTTATTGCCCTATAATTCTTACAGGATTGCAGCCGTTCGAAAAACGCACGTTAGCCATTCCCGGCAAAAATATAGTGAGGATATTTACCTTTTATACAACATAACTTTTTTTGGTGACGTCAATATTACACTTAATGTATAGTGACGTCGTTCGAAACGAAATCATTTATTCACGACGTCACGAACATGTTCTTCATATCATTACACCAATGGGAATTTGTGAAAATTATGATCTGATATCTTTCTATTTTGTTTGGTAAAGTTAAATAGTGGCAATGCAAAGAAAATGGAAATATTTACTCTGAACTCCTTTTTATTAGCTTCAATTTTATTTTATTTTGTTCACACATACTAGTTGCACAAATTTACTCATTGGTCGTTTAAAGTCGATCTAGCCAAAAAACACGAACGCAATGCGGACGATGACCAGCCGCGAACCGGACGCTGTTCGAACGCAGGACGGACACTTACCGCACGGAGGCCGGACTATTAACAAGTTGCCCAGAGGGCCTGTATCGCTCACCTGCATATCTAAGCAATCATGGTAACATATTCTCCAAATGAGATCCAAGGGAATATGCCGGACCCAAATGCCAATTCTTGTAGTATGTCTGTATTAGATTCTTTTTATGTCCAGCAATTTAATGCATGGTTATGGGGTGGGGATCTCAACTGTTTCCAAGCTGTGACTCAGAGTATCTAGGGTTGTGGCCAGACCTCAGGATCAATTCTAATATCATGACTGCATTTGTCTCTTTTTGCCAAACATTTGTATATATAGTTTTGGGATGGGGACCTCAACCGTTTCAAAGTTATGACCCAGGGGTTAAGTCTGCAAGGGGGGGGCAGACCCTAGGGTCAATTCTAATATCATGACTGCGTTCGTCTCATTATGCCCAACAATTGTATATATAGTTTTGGGGTGGGGATCTTAACCATTTCGAAGTTATGACCCAGGGGTTAAGTCTCCAAGGGTGGGGTAGTGCCCAATGCCATCCTGGAAGCATATGTGCATTCATCTCTTTATACTCAGCAATTGTATATATGGTTATAGGGTGGGGATCTCAACTGTTTCCAAGCTGTGACTAAGAAACTAGGTCCCTAGGGGTTCGGTCAGACCCCAAGGTCTATTCTAATATCATGACTGCATTCGTCTCTTTATGCCCATCATTTCTATATATAGTTTAAGGTTGGTGATCTCAACCGTTTTAAAGTTATGGCCCAGGGACTATGTCTCAAAGGGTGGGGCCAGACCCTAGTGTCAATTCTAATATCATTACTGCGTTCGTCTCTTTATGCCCAACAGTTGTATATATAGTTTTGGGGTGGGGATCTTAACCATTTCGAAGTTATGACCCAGGGGTTAAGTCTCCAAGGGGGGGGTAGTGCCCAATGCCATCCTGGAAGCATATGTGCATTCATCTCTTTATACTCAGCAATTGTATATATGGTTATAGGGTGGGGATCTCAACTGTTTCCAAGCTGTGACTAAGAAACTAGGTCCCTAGGGGTTCGGTCAGACCCCTCAGTCAGAGTCACCAAGATAACCTCAATCGATCATCATATACTAGGGGATCACCAAATGGCGAAATGCTATTTAGGATACCCTAAAATCTTGACAGTGAGGCCCACTGCATAGCCCCAAACGGAAGGAGAAAAGCAAGAGACGAAATTATAAAAGAGAAACATAGACATGAACATGAAATTAAGAGTTGGAGCTGTCTATAGAAAACCTCAGTAGTCAGATGCACACATCGACAGGATGGTTTGGTTTGGTTTAATTTTGTTTAACGTCCTTTTACAGCTAAGGCCATTTAAGGACGTGCCTCCATGTATGTAGTGTATGCGTTTTTGCGTGTGTGTATGCAGGAGACAGGGTATGTCGTTGTGCTTGCCTCCTTGTGATAACGCGGAGCTGATGCCGACTTTATAGTGATATCTCACTGAAATACCATACCTAAGGCACCCAGCACAGCATTTCGCCCGGTCACATTATACTGACAACGGGATAAGTTCTTTCCATCCCCCAAAATGCTGAACATTAAGCAGGGAATAACCTAATGGTAAACGGGATATCTGTTTAAAATAATGAGTTCTGCAACTTCTGTGTGTAGGAGTTGTTTTAAAATAATTGAACTGTTAATGTTTTCAATGTTTTCAAAATATTTGTTTCAACTATTTTAGTAATATTTGAAATATATCTGTCAATTACGGTAACAGTAAATTTTGGGTAAGTAAGTATTAATTAAATAACAATAATAACAACAGTCCTTCATAAGTTGTTTAATCAATCTTGGTGACTCTGGATGAGATGAAAACTATACTTCTGCCTGTTAGGGTAAACAATCAGCGGACATGGTAGTTGTATAGTTATATGCTTGTTTTCCTTGCATTGTATTGTAATGTGTATGATATAGGTATCAGATCTGTTGTTGACATCCTAGTATATTATGTTCGGATGTGCCCTTGTTCTCCTTTCATTGGCATTGAACGGAACGTTTAAAATATCAAAGTTGGGGGTAGTAGTCGAATGTTTATGCATATTTAAAATAAGTAAATTATTTTCTAGTAATGCTAATAAGGGAATATTTATGAAATCTATGCATCAATGATTGTAAAGTTTCAATATGATTTTTTTTTAATGAAAAGTTTGAATTTTCATTAAATTGTTCAACCTAGTTTTTGCTTTTCATTATATTGTTCAACCTAATTTTTGCATTTCATTAAATGTTCAACCCAGTTTTTACCTGGTTCAACTGTAAAGTCGCCATCATATCTGCGCTATCACAAGGCGGCAAGTACACCAACATACCCTATATCCGGCACACATACACACAAGCACGCATACACACACACACATGGAGGCACTTCCTTAAATAGCTGTTAATAGGACGTTAAACAATATCAAACCTAACCAAACTAAACGTCAAAGCTCGTTCAAAACTCGTGCAAATGTTACCATAACTCGACTCGACTCGCTTAAACTGGCACATTCTCGTTGCAAAGTAAGCGATGATTGAGAAAGTGCCCTACATAGATAGTACGATTGTTGCCTAAACTCCTGTTAAAAAAGGAGGTTGTCGTACTACTCTCCCATCAGATTGGAGGAAAACTCGAGGAGAGACGAATTAATGTCACATTTATCAAGAACTATTGCAAACTCGGGGACATTGCAGCAAATTATAACTCGTGGTAACTTGTAATCCAAAATCGTGACAGTATCACTGACCCTTAACATAGACAGAGGTTTCATCTACAAAGTTTTATGTGAGAGGTTACATTATTAGCAATATCAGTGATAAAAAGAAGAAAGAAGGGACTAAGAACAGATCCTTGGGGAACCACTGTAGATAAAGGTTTGGTACTAGATAACCCTTTGTTTCCAGTCAGATAAATAAGATTTAAACCAATCAAATAATTTACTTTTAATACCATACGTTTTCAGTTTATAT